AAAATCTCTCTCAAAAAAAAAAAAGAAAAAGAAAAAGAAAAGAAAAGAAAAAAAGAAGGAAAAAGAAAAGAAAGAAATGAACAAACAAAACAAGTCTGAAAGACAAGAAGTCAACTGCCCAGGGAAGGCCCCTTGGCACACCTCATGGGGGCAAAGACGTGTCCTTGTCTCAAAGATGACTCCAGAGGAACCCAGCAGCCCGTGTCCCCGGATGACCCGCCAGGGCTCCAAGTGGGGGGTCCAGAAAACTGATGTCCACTCACAACGCAACCTCCCAGAGAAAAACCCAGGCGCGACAGTAATCAGAGCCGGCCCCTTCTGTGCTTTTTTTCCAATCTTATTAAAACACCAGAGAGATTAAGTAATGACTTGGTCTATTTATAGCTTTCAGTTACCCTCTCAGGGCTTGGACGAAGTTCTCAGGAACTGTCTGAAAGGGATGATTCCTACCTTCGGGGTCTACGATGTGGGGTTAGGGGTGAGTTTGGATTCATCGTGAGGATTTACAAATCGTAAGGGAGGAGGGGAGGGGAAAGGAGGACTCTGGCCCTGCCCCAGGAATGTGAGGGGAGGCCCCGGCTGAGTGTGCAGTGTCTGATAGGCTGGGCTGTTCCCCTCTCCCAGGCTCAACCTGCCACTTTTTCATGCAGCTGCCACCTAAGGACATAGGCCTCAGGGGACAAGCAGGAAGGCTTCCCACGGTGTCCAAAACTGAAAGAAAAATATAATCTTCCCATTTAGTAATCAAACGTATATCTATCTATCTATATACATATATATGGGTGTTTTGTTGTTGTTGTTGTTGTTGTTTTTTAATTTGCCAGAGGGTACTTGTGCTTGCCAGGGGGCAGTGGAGAGGGAAAAGGCACTTCCCATGGGGCAAGGCCACACCATAACTCCTTTTTCTCCATGCCCCCTTTTAGGATTTTAGGCCCCCACACTCATGCACCTGGCGTGTTTTTCAAGCCACCAGCACTAGGATTCGAACTATGTGGTCTGCCATGTGGGATCTGACTCTTTTAGCCACCGAGCCACAGGCTAAAAGTAAAATTATTGATTAAAATCTACGGGGTTCACTGATAGGAATTACTTTTGGCTGTTACTTAAACCTGAAACAGCGAAGGCTTAAGGAAGGTAAAAGTTTCTATTTCCTCCCGAATAAGCAGTCCGGGGCAGGCAGCTGGGCACCAGGACGCACATTCTCTTCACGTCTGTGTGCTCTCCATCTCAGCACCTGGCCTTCATCATCACGGTGTCTCAGGGTCCAGGAACATTGTTTCTGCTCTAGCTATCACGTCTGGATTCCAGGCAGAGAGAGGAAAGTGGGAGGAGAAGATCGAAGGGTCCTGGCTGAATGGACACTTCTTCAGGAGTTTGGCAGGAAGCATCCCCCCCACTCCCACTTATATTTTAAAAGCTGCCCCACTGGGTTTGCCGGCAGGGCCTTGTTGGTGCCCATACATCTTGGGGCCTCCGTTCCTGAGGAAATAGAAGAGAGTGGAGACTGGGTAGGCAACTAGCTGTCCCTGCTACAGCCCATATTTTAAGTTAATGTAGTGTTATAAGAAATTGCAAAGAAACAATACATACTAGATGTAAATTCCATTTGGTTTCTTGCACTCTTCTGAATGTTCTTAATTTCTGCTCAAGCTGAAGCAGACTTCTCTCTAAATGTCATTAGGAAACATTGTAAGGCCCTTGACCCACCCTCCTCAACCCCAGAGCTATAGCCAGGGAAGATCTTCAAACTATTTAACATCCTCTACTCTGGCCATAAACGCCTGGGCAGGAGGACCATTGCACCCCGGCAGGCCATTGCAAGCCCCTAGGTAACTCTGGCTCTGGGGCTTCGGGTCTACTTGATGTCAAAGTCCTTGCAGGCAGTGTGGTCATTACAGAGCCAGAAATCTGCCTATAACCCATGGAAGAAAGTCTGAATCACGCTTCTGAGATCCAGATCCGGCCTCTGCTGCCTCTCTCCCTGGTACGCAAGCTGAAATCAGCGGGAAGACATGGCTGGGTCACAACACAGCCAGGTCCGTACTTCACCAGGGTCCTGCCTCCGTGTCTCTTTCTGGACCCTCTTTCTCCTGCCGTGTACGTGCTGAGCCTGTATTTTAGCAACATGAAAAATGACAGCGTGTGCTTCCAACTGCTGGGGCGTGAAGTTAAGGAAGGATACACACTCATCTCCATAGATAGACTCCAGGCACGTGTGAGCTGAGTCTTAGAAGGCGAGAAGAGATTTGCCAAGAACACAAGTGAGTGGGCGGGCGATCCACGTAGAGGAGGCCGCGTGAGCGTGAGGTCTGTTGGAGGAAGTGCAAGCACGTGAACGAAAATCATTGTTAGCACTTCTGATCACAAATAGACTCCGAGAGGGGGATTGTAAAGACAAACACACAGGGGCCAGCAGGTGGCATGGTGGTTAAGGCGCTGGACTCCCATATGGCCTACTCCGGTTCAAGTCTGGGACCCACTGGCTTGAAATTCACTCCAGGCATGTGTGCATGTGTGCCCAAAATCCCAGGAGAAGAATGGAGGAGAAGGGATTATGACGTGGCCAACCCCACGGGCGCATGATTTCTCACTTTCTCTTTCGCTTTCTCCTTTCTGGTGAGCACACACGCCCTCTGGCAAAAACCTTTCTTAAAAAAGACAAAGATACAGACGTTTTTAAGACTCTCCACATGAATTGCTAAATTGCTTTAGAGGAAGATTGGTGCCCAAACCACAGGAAAGCGCCCCTCTCATCAAACCCCTCAGCGTGATGTATTGTCATTTTCAAACCTACTTTGCCAGTTTGGCAGGTGAGACTGTCTTTACTACATTGATAAAACTGAACATTTTCTGCCAGGTTTTTTGGCCATTTACATTTTTCCGTCTGTGAAATGAAGTGCCTGGTCCTCTCTTTCCCATTTCCCATTGGGTACGAATGTTTCTGTGGCCCATTGGTTTACACAGCAAGTATTTCCTGTGTGCTTGTTACATAGGGGGTCCTCTTCTGGGTGCTGGGGCAGAACAAAACGGAAGTCTCTGTCCTCCAGAGAACTGATCTGCAGGTGAGAGAGACGAACAGTGGGCCCAGAAACAAGGACTGGATTTGTAAAGATGTATGTATTAGGCGGAGGACGATAATGCTTGCTCTTACAGGTTCCTCGGTCTGTCTCTTGCTTTTTCATTTTATTTGCACTGAAATCTCTTAGAGAGTTGCTTCATTTTTTTTAGCTTTTCATTAGAGCATAACTTTAGGTTTATGGAAAAATTGCAACGATGCTGTAGAGTGTCCGTACACCCGTCACCTGGCTTCCTTTGATATTAGCATCTTACATATGATGACACATTTGTCAAAAGTAACTACATGGGTATAGCACTAGTAAGTAAATTACTTATCTGGATTTCGCCAGTTTGGGATTTTATCAGTTTTCCCACTAAAGTTCTTCCATTCTGTTCCAGGAGCTAATCCAGGAGGCTATATTGGACTTAGGAACTTCTTAATTACTTTTTTAGATACAGTGTCTTGCTATAGTGTTCAAGCTGGTCTTGAACTTGAGATCTTCCTACTTCAACCTCTCAAGTAACTGAGACTACAGGCACATGCCGATGGACCCGGCTAATTTTTAAATTATAATGTAGTAAAACCTGTTGATTTTGTATTGTTCATCTTGTTCTTACAAAATCCTTCCAGGGCCGTCAGGTTGCATGGTGGCTGTGGTGCTAGATTCCCACATGGCCCACAGTGGTTCAAGGCTCAGATCTGGCTGCTTGCTTTCTCACTTTCTCTCTCTCTCTCTCTCTTTCTCTCTCTCTCTCTCTCTCGTGAACACGCATGCTGTATAGCAAATTTAATAATAATAATAATAATGGTGAATAACATTTTAAAAAAGAGTTCTTCCATATTCTGAGAGCTGATAAAATAGTAGCCTATATTTCATCTAGCTTTAAATAGTTTCATTTTTTTTAAAAAAAGAAACTTAATTCTTTTTTTTTTAATAATTATTTTATTTATTTATTTATTTATTTTTCTTTTCATTCATTTACTTTTTAATTTGACCAGAGAGAGAGAGACGTTGAGAGTGAGAGAGAGAGAAGAAGCGAGAAAGCAAGCCACCAGATTCAGGACTCGAACCCTGGTCAGCCATGTGGGAGTGTCCAGCGCCTTAACCACCACACCACCTGCTGGTCCCAAAACTTAATTCTTTAAACATCCAGAATTTATTTTGATGTGGGGCATGAAATAAGGATCTAATTTCTATTTTTTCAAATAGTTTGCCAGCTGTCCAGTATCCTATGGTTAATTATGCATTTCCTGTCTGATTAGAGAAGCAACTTTTCTCAAATATGAATATTTAGCTGTGCTGGGATCTGTCTCCCTTATAAATGCTGGCTGGTTGGTGCCATGTGTTGATCGTTCTGGCCATGGCTGTGTCTGTGCCACACTGTTCTGACAATTACACCTTTGTAGTATGTTTTCATATCTGGTAGAACAAGACCTCCTCCACCTTTAGCTTTATGAAAAAGTATTAATGAAGGTAATGATCCACTTATGTGCCAGGGCCAGTGTCAGACCTCTCAGATAAGATATGAACAGCCAAGCCCAGACTTCAAGGAGGAGGCAGACTAACCAGTGACCACACTGCAGCATGGCAGCCCATAGGTGAGCCAAACACACAGAAGGACCCTCTGGGGTAGTCAGAGAGGACTAGCCAGAAGAAGTGGCACTTGACCTGTGATTGATTTGAGGAGAAGCAGGCAGGGCACTCCAGGCGGAGGGAGCAATGTGGACAAAAACCTGGAGTTGGAAAAAAGAGCAGGCCTCATTAGGGAACCATTAGTACTGGGGTTTGGAGAGGCAGCTGGCATAGACAGGCATGACTGGGGGGCTGGCTCCTGGAAAACCTTGACTGCCAAGCCAGGTGTTCAGATAACCCCAAGGGCCTGACCTAAGGTCCCTCTTGCCCTGGGCGCTGAGATTCTTCAATTGCTGACTTTCTTCCCAGGAACATGTTCCCGGCCAACCTGGTGGAAGCCACATTCAAACAGGTAAGTGGGTCCCTGGGCATTGCAAAGGAGAGGGGGGCAGCTGGCAGGAAGGGCCAGCCTGGGTCCAGCAGGAAAGCAATAGGTTTGCCCAACCAGTCTCCCTGTCTGCCAGAGATGGGATGCTAGAGGGGAGGGGAAGTCAGGGGACCTGGGTCCGCTGAGCCTCCCGTGGCCGCGCTCCTCTTCTGGGTTCCAGTTTTCCACGAAGAAAACAGTAGGGGTGGAGGGAAGTCTTGAGTGCATGTCTGCAGGACTCGGTTCCACACAGGTGCTCCCAGGCCCACCTCACTAGCCTGCCCTGTGGGTGAGCTTAGCCCATTTCCTGGATGAGGAAACTGAGTCTCAGAGGAGTAAACGATTTGCCCAAGATTATACCACTAATTAATGACAAAGCTAAGGGACCAGCAGATGGCGTAACCATTACTGGTGACCATTCCCACATGGCCGACCATGGTTCAAGTCCCGGAGTTGAAGGTTTGAAACTCATGCCAGACGTGTGTGCATGCATGCCCAAAATCCCAAAAGGAGAATGGAGAAGAAGGGATTGCAGCACGGTCATCCCTCCTGCAGGGTGGCTTCTCGCTTTCTGTCTCTCTCTCTCTCTGTGTCTCTCCAGTAAGCACAAGCACCCTATAGCAAACATCTCTCTTTAAAAAATAAAAAGTTGGGACCAGCAGGTGGAATGGTGGTTAAGGGTGCTGGAATCCTATGTGGCTGACTGACCTGGCAGCTTGCTTTCTCACTTTCTCTCTCTCTCTCTCTCATCAAATTAGAAAATAATAATAACAAATAAAATTAAATAAATAAGTTTTTTAAAATGACAAAGCTAAGAGGTAAACTCATGCCTATCTGGCTTCTAAAACTGTTTTCTCTTTCTTTTAAAGAGTAATCTTATTTTTGCTCTCTCTCTCTCTAGTAAGAAGACTAACAATGTTCACTGTAGAGATTTAAGAAAACACTAATAAGTACAAAGCAGAAAATAAAAAGTCAGCCCAGGTTCCAGTGCTTAGCAACGTGGTAGCAGGTGTTGTGCTTCTAGTCTTTTTTTTTTCCCCTCCACATAAATATATTTTTAAAAATAAAACTAGGATGGTACCAACAGTTGGTGTAATGGCTATATCACTGGACTCCCATGGAGTCGATCACAGTTCAAGTCCCGGACCCAGTGGCTTAAACTCACATGGGGCGCGTGTGCGTGCATACCCAAGATTCCAAGAGAAGAATGGAGGAGAGGGGATTGCGGTGTGGCCATCCCCCACCCCGGGGGGGTGATTTCTCGCTTTCTATCTTTCTGTCTCTGTCTTTCTGGCGAGCGCACACGCCCTATAGCAATAACCTCTCCTAAATAAATAAATAAGACTAGGATCATCAGGCATAGACAGTTTGCATCTTGCTTTTGTTCCCCCTCCCCCCTCGCTTACTCACAGTTATCTGCCATCCCCCATCCAGGGGTCCTGTAGGTTGTTTTCCAAGGTGCCTTCTTAGAACGGTGGTGAACATCCCGTGCACCAGTCTCTGCACGTCTAATGATTTCTGATTCCTTCCCCCTAAAAATGCTGGCTGGTTGGTTGGCTAAGTCCAGCAAGCAGTTCCTGACCTCTCCCTGGGCTGGGCCCATGTTGTCTCTGGGGGATACAGGAGGTGGCTGCAGGTTGGAGAGGAGACTGCAAAATCAGTAGCTGTGACTGCTGATCACTGCTTCCCTCTGACACCTTGAGGTCTTCACCTAGGAAATTCGCCTGATTATGAAGGGCACTGAATGTTAAGTTAGGGAGTTTGGATTTTTTCTAGTTGCAATGGGGGATTGTTGAAGGTAAGAGAGAGACAGAAAGAGAGAGAGAATATGGTTCTACCTTATACCTGACTGAAATATCCTCTTTCTTTCGGCAAACTCCTACCCATCCTTCAAGACCCAAATCAAATGTCCCCATATTTGTGAAGCTAACTCAGGTAGAGTTAGCCACTTACATCTGTAAGTCTCCCTAAGACAGTCAGACTAGAAATCATGTCCAACCCAGTTTTTGTTCTCTTTAATTTTTACTTATTATTGTTATTTTAAAAATCTGTTATAGAGCACATGCTCTCACCAGAGAGAGACAGAGAAAGAGAGAGAGGGAAAGTGAGAAAGCAAGGTCCGGGGCTCAAACTGCCATCGGCCATGTGAGAGTCCAGCACCCCAACCACCATGCCACCTGCAGGCCCCTGAGAGTTTTCTGTGTGCAGCAGCCAGTACAGGTGCTCAACACTGAACGGCGAGGAGAGCGGTAATGTTCTCACAGGGCTTGCCGCGTGCCAGCTGACTGTGCCAGGCACGTTGTATATGGTGTCTCATTTGATCCAATCCGGTAGTTATTACTGTGATCCCATATTACAGATAAGGAAATCAAAGCACAGACTTTAGGCCTTCAATACTTCCCAAGTGGTCCCCATCCTACAACCCCCGTGGCTTACCTTACTGACACTGTGATGTTTGAGAAGATGGGAGACTCCCTTGGATGGACTCCCAGTACCTGAGGAGTGAGAGGGAGAGGCCCGGGACACCCTGGGGGCAGAGGACAAAAGGCTGGCGGCTCGGGTGGTTCATTCGCAGTTGAGCTCCTTTTATCACCAAGGTTTGAGGCACACTGACTCTTTCCGGAGAAGGCCCATGTTTCCATCGAGGGCGACAGGGCCAGCTGGCTGCAGGTGGATGAGTAATGAGGGCTGGAAGGGGGTGGGTGGGTGAGTGGAGGATTATCTGGCTAGACGAAGAGTTGGCCCATGGCTAAACGGAGACCCGGATAGGGTAACAATGCCTAGAAGGAAAAAAGGACCTAGGACTGGAGGGAGGCATGGCTGGGTCATGAGGAAGATGCACGAAGGAATTTCCATGTTCTTTTTGGGGAAATATCAGTAAGAACGCCTGCTTTGCCTCCTTCACAAGGTCACTGTCAATTAAATGAGGTACGAGTGGATACAGACGTGCTTTTAAGAGCTGTTGTTGTTGTTATTGATATTAATAACTCTTGGTCCTGACTTCTTCCTGACTGGGGTGTCGCCCACCAGTACCGAACCAAGACCACCCCGGTTGTCAAGTCCCCCAAGGTGCCTGCGGAGGAGGCCTTTCCTCGACGGATCCTCATCTACGGGGTCCAGGAGGAGAATGGCTCCCGTGTGCAGAACTTCGCCCTGGACCTGACCCCGCCGCCAGAGGTCATTTACAAGTCAGAGCCTGGCACCAGTGAAGGCATGAACGTGCTGGGCATCGTCTTCTTCTCGGCCACTATGGGTATGTGCACCCCACCTGCCCCAGCAGCGCCTGGAGCCTCGCGCCGCATCCCTCCAGCCATTGTCTTCCCAACCTGGCGTCTCCCAGACCTCCAGGGCCTCTTTGCTTTACTAGCCAATACCCCCCGGGCCCTTTTTTTTTTTTTAGCCAATAGACTAGTGGGTCCCCATTCTGAGGTTATATCCAGCCCCACAGTGGCTCTTCACCAGGGCTTCCTGTCTCAGGGTGCTGGTTTGCCTCCAGGGGCCCACTGTCTCCTTTGGCACCCCCCAGCCCCTCCTAGCAGCCTGTTCTAGACGTTTCACTGAGATCTGGAGAGAAGGGGGAGTAGGCTGTTGACAATAAAGAATGGAAACTATCACTGTTTATAGACAGCCCTCATCCCTTCAGCCCCCTCGAACCACAGTGGCTTCTCACTGGTGGCCTTGCTCCTCGGACCCATGTGCCACTTCTTGGGGCTCACAGTCAGCCTCCCTGGAGACCCCCTTCCCTTTGCCATTTTACTTTGGGTCACCAAGGTCTCAACCATAGGCAATTTACTATGAAGCTATAAAACTCAGGATTCAGGGCCTCCTCACTTTTAAAAATGTTTGTATTTTTCCTCAAGAGGACCCCCAAACTATATAGCCTCAGACCCCCCAAAACCTATGGGTATGTCTCTCCCTGCCGTGCCCCTGCCCCCAAACACACAAAAGCTTTTTCCTTCTTGAGGACAGAGCCAGCCCTTCCAGAACAATCTAGCTTGTTTGTCCTGGGCCTGTGCTTCTGGTCTACCACAGGGGCATTGCGAGTCTTGTTCTAAGGTTGCACCAGCCTGCCCGGGGAGCCTGAAGACTGCCAGCTTCTGCCACCTTGACTATCCCATGGGGCTTTCTCCTCCTGTGCGAAGCCTCCCATCTGGTTGCTCATGAAGAAATCTGGGAGTCACTTCCTACCTCGCCCTCTGCCTCTGCCCCATGTCCTAGCCCTGTCAGGTCTAGTCCAAAATCTCCCTCCCATCTGTGTATTTTCTCTGCCCACTGCTACCCCCCTAGTTGAAGGCTCACTTGGTTTCTACAAAAGCTGCCTAAAAAATACCTTGCTGGAGCCAACAGGTGGCGTGGTGGTTGAAGCGCTGGACTCCTACATGGCCAATCACGGTTCAAGTCTTGGACCTGGTGGCTTGCTTTCTCACCTGCCCTCTTTCTCTCTCTGGTGAGCACCCCATGTCCTAGAGCAAATTTAAAATGTTATTAATAATAAATAAAACTTTTTAAAAAAGAGTCCCCTGCACCTTCCACTCTTATGCCCTCTGGTGTGTCCCTTCAGAAGGTCACAAAGCCGGGAACCAGCAGTTAGCGTAATGGCTATGTCGCTGGACTCCCACATAGTCGACCGCGGTTCGCGTCCCGGACCTGGTGACTTAAAACTCATGCCGAGCGCATGTGCGTGCGTGCCCAAGATCCCGAGAGGAGAATGGAGGAGAAGGGATTGTGGCGTGACCATCCCCCCTGGGGGGTGATTTCTCGCTTTCTGTCTCTATGTCTCTCTCTGTCTGGCGAGCGCACGCGCCCTATAGTGAAAACCTCTCAAAAAAAAAAAAAAGAAGGTCACAAAGCCAAGCCCCATACCTCGGCTGCAGACCCCTGCATCTCCTCGCAGGCCTCGCCACGCCCCAGCCCTGCTGCCTTTCTGCTCGTGGACCTGTCTCTGGACCCTTCCTCTTCACTCCCCTCCGCCTTTTCTTATCCTTGGAGGCCTCCCCACAAGCATCATGCCCTCAGGGAAGTCTCCCCTGCAGGCTAGGGCCCACCCCAGCCACTGCCCTGTTACTCACGGCCACCGGGTCCTGTGGCAGTTATCTCATCGTGTGACTCTGGTGTCCGCTTGGCAGCTGTGTGCAGGCAGAGACGTGCCGGCTTCTCCGTCCACCCCCGGGGTCCACCTCCATCCACACTGCAGGGCCCGGGTAGAGCAGGCCCTCGCAAAGACCTGTGTCGCGATGGTGGGTAGGTGATCTGGATCACGGAGCTCTTCTCATCTTGGCCAAAACTCCAGGCACACGAGGGGCCAGGACCTCAGTGTCCACAGTGCAGTGGTCAGTGTCGGGGGCATGTCTTAGCACATCTGACAGGTGGTCCCAGTCCTGAACATTCTTCCCGTCCCCACCCACACCTCTTAGGGATGGGGACATGTGACAGGACGTCAGTGCTAAAGAAGCCTGTGAGGCCCTTCCACTCAACCCCTCAGTGTTTACCAAGGGTGTGTAACTGCCCGGCACCAGCGGATTCATGCGTACGTGCCAAGTGGCCTGCGTGTGCCCACTTCCGTGTGTACCCACTTCCGTCTGCAGAGCCCGTGTCTGCCATGCCAACATTGCTGTACAGCTGCTCAGAGAAGGGCTTCCCCCCACCACCACCACCCCTCCTCCCCACCGTGGCTAGAAGGGGTGTGTGCTTGCCAGAGAGAGACAGGGAGAGAGGAAGAAGCGAAAGCATGATCCCTTTTCCTGCATTTCTCCCTCTTCTCGACGTTATGGGCATGCACGCACACTTACCCAGCATGTCTCTCAAGCTGCTGGGTCTGAGACTTGAACCACAGGCCATGTGGCATCCAGCTGCCTTAACCACCAGCCATGGGGCCAGCCTGAGCAGGGCTTGCTTGGCGCCTCGTCCCAGCCTCCTCTCCTCACCTCCTCCCTGGCATTGGCTGTGGCTAGTGCCTGTGCGGGAACCCCACTGCCGCGCCCATCCATGCAGGCTGGTTCCCATCCAGCCAGAGTCCTCGGACGCCCCAGAGAAATCAAGTGGAGGCTGAGGCGGGGCGGGGATAGCCTGGGGAGGGAGAGGACCAGCATGGGGACGCTGTGTCCACGTCAGCCAGGTTACCTCTAGTGGTGGCCTTTCCTGCCCACCCCTGCAAACCTCCCCTCACTCCATCACCACAGCATAGCTACTCTGAGTACCCAGTAGGCTCAGGCTTCCTGGAACAGGGCAAAGGCGCTTCTCTGTAGTCCCACAGGCCAAGGTTTGAATCCCTGCCTGGACCCTCTCCGGCTGAGCCAGTCAGAGTGCCTCTCTGAGCACTGTGACAGTGAATTTCATGTGTGCTCCGTGACACATTTTTGTCTCACCAGAAGGAACAGCAGCCAGTAGTCACTGTCTCAAGGGCTTCCGGGAAGGGCTTAGGTCGTCATTCATTCCTTCAGAAATTACAACTGGGCACCTACCATGGACCAGCCAAAGAGATATAGTTCTCGCTAACCCCAAGAAGGCAGAAAAACAAGAAATAGCACTTCCAAGTTGTCATAAATCATCGGAAGGAATCAGCAAGAGCCGAGATGGGGAAGAAAAAAATGGGGCATTTGCAAGGAGCGCGGGGCTGGGCTCCCAAGTCCAGCCAGTGTTGCAGGCAGAGGCCCTGCTCTGTGTGGTGACACGTGTGACCTATTCTAGTCACTGACCTGTGGCCCATGGCCAGCAGTGTCTGAGCACTGTGAGGATGGACAAGGCCAGCAGGTGGGAGGGAGGGACGGGCTCAGGCCAGGTGGGGCCTGAGGCTGCAGGGAGCTCAGCAATGGTTGCATGCCCTGGACGTCAGCAGGGGCTGCAAGCTGCATGGGCCTGTGGGGCTGTCCTTGCTTTGCCACCAGCATGCCTGTGCCTGACCTGGTGCACCCGTCATGCACTGCTGTGTCTCTGCCCCTGCAGGCATCATGCTGGGCCGCATGGGTAACAATGGGATCCCCCTGGTCAGCTTCTGCCAGTGCCTCAATGAGTCCGTCATGAAGATCGTAGCGGTGGCTGTGTGGTAAGCCTCATCGGAGGGGGGGGTCCCCTTTCACCCTCCCAGCCCCTGCCAGTCCCAGGAGGATGGAGGGACGCCGTTCTCCATCCTCTGCTGTCCCAGGAGCATTGTGGGAAGTTCTTCATGAGGCTTAGCCCTGGGCTCAGGGCCTCTAGAGTGACACATTTTCCTGGATCCCCAGCTCTGGGCCTGCCACTTCTGGCCCAGCGTGGACAGGAGCTCAGAGCTCAGGCTGGCTCTGCTGCACTCCTGGCCTCAGTTTCCCCATCGCATGGAGCCTCGCCAGCTCAGTTTTTGGAGAAAAGAACCCCTAGAAGTGAGCACCAGCTGCCACGCCTCAGTTCGGAGTTCAGACCGTAGGAATCTTCCAGTCCAGCCACAGCTCAGATGGGCAGCAGCCTGCCTACAGTCAGCCACCGAAGTTGTATCACTGCTGGGGCTGAGGTGGGAGCCTTCCGAAGGCAGGGGGACTCCTCAGAGGCAGGGGTGAGGAGGTTGAGGGTGATGGTGTTAACAAGGCAGGGTCCCTGGGCAGCCCAGACCGTCGGCTGCACTTAGTCCTCACGTGATCCCTGGGAAACTCTGGGAGGGTACAGCCATGTGGCAGTGTGGTGCCAGGGCCAGGGTGGGCCCCTCGCCTGCCTGGCACCTGAGCCCACTGCCCTGCCCTCAGGTATTTCCCCTTTGGCATTGTGTTCCTCATCGCCGGCAAGATCCTAGAGATGGACGACCCGCGGGCCGTAGGAAAGAAGCTGGGCTTCTACTCCATCACCGTGGTGTGCGGGCTGGTGGTGCACGGCCTCTTCATCCTGCCCCTGCTCTACTTCTTCATCACCAAGAAGAACCCCATCGTCTTCATCCGCGGCATCCTGCAGGCCCTGCTCATCGCACTAGCCACCTCCTCCAGGTAGTCCTCACCACAGTGGGTGGGGAAGTGGGCCAGGGGTTGTACTCTGTCCACCTGGCCGGCCATCATTTGCCCACAGGCAGAATTGATACGGCCCCTTCAGCAGCTCGGGGACAGCTATGGGCTATGGTAAGAAGACTTACCTGGGGGAATTAATGTTTAAGACCCCAGCTGCCTGATTCAGCCCTCAAGGATTCCCCTTCCTGAGCACCCACCACCCCCAGCATTCACTGAATCCGGATGGGTGTTCATGTCCACGCACTGGGCATTTTTGCCGCCACCTGCTGCTTCTGTTGGGTCAGGCTCTGCACTGTCGGGGCCTGGGGCCTCTTACTGTCCCTGGGACGTCCTGGCTGGGTACTCTGCTACTGCCTTGGCAGTGTGGCCGGACAGTTCCAGCGCCCACTTCCTGTGTCTGCGGGCCCTCACTTAACCTCTGTATCAATCTTCGTACACACAGAGGGGAGTCTCCCCGTGTCCCTTTCAAATCTCCAGGGACTACATGCGCTTGCCTGAGAGAGAGAAAGGGAGAGCGCATCCGCATGGGGTGTGGTCACGCTGCAATCCCTTCTCCATCCTATCAGGATTTGGGGGTATGCGTGCACAGGCACTCGGCATGCTTTTCAAACTGCCTGGACTGAGATTCAAACTACAGTCAGCCACAGTGGGATGAGGCTCCCTTAACCACTAGGCTACAGGACCAGCCTGGCTGGGAGTTTTTAGCCTCTCCCTCCTAGGTTGCCGTGGAGGTTCGTTGAGGCAATGCACAGAGGGGGAGACTGGATCTGGGCCGGATGATCGCACCTGGCCTCCCAGAGCCCCAGCCAGTGGAGCGCAGGGACCGCAGGGAGCTGGAGTTGAGCAAGCTGGGCGGCTGGCTAGGGGAGCAAGGAAAAAGCCACTCTCCGGGCAGCCAGCCTTGTGAAGAAAGGGGCTTCTCGCCCCACAGTGAGCACCCAGGCCCCACATGGAGGCGATCACAGACGCCTGAGTGTGCCTTTCCGGCCCCCAAGGCCTCGCCCCTCCCTCCAGCCCTGGCGGCCTTCTCTCGCCTGGGCCTCAGCGGCCCAGTGTGTAAATGCCCACAGGCCTCCTACCCTGGTAGACACAGGACTTGCCCTTGGCAGCCCCACTGCCCACGGGACTCGGGAGGAGCAAGCCCAATGAAGAAAAGCCAGAAGCCACAGTCCAGGAACACCCACCAGTGCCAAGGTCGGGGTAGAGGGGTGCCAGCCCTGCCCGTCTCCGCCCCCCAACAGCAGGACCAGCATGTCCAGGGCTCCCAGAAGTGGCTTGTGGGAGAAGCAGGGGCCTCACGTCTGAGGTTTAGTCCCTGCACCACCAGCAGGAGCTCCCGTAACACAGCGACGGCAAGAACACACACCAGGGCCTGAGGACCCACGCCGCCCGATGCCCGATGTCCCCAGCACTTAGTCGTGTAATCCTCCTAATAGCTCTGTAATCTAGGTGCTATTTGGGACAACTAAAGCACACAGGTTAAAGATCTTGCCAGAGTCCTTAGACAGAAGCTGGAATTGAAACCCAAGTCAGTCTGGCCCGAAGCGCCTGCCATTCACCACTTCCTGTAGCGAGGGCTTCAAAAGTTCATGAAAAATGCATAGTATGAAAAATTCATGCATGGGTTTCAAAGTTGTTTTGCACCAAAATAAATTCATACTTTAATTCTATTTTTCACAATTTTTTTTTGAGAGAGATTTTTGCTATAGGGCATGTGCACTCACCAAAGAGACAGAAAAAGAGAGAGAGATCCCCCCCACCAAGGGGGATGGCCACACCACAATCCCTTCTCCTCCACTCTCCTCCCAGGATCTTGGGCACACGCGCACACATGCCAAGTGTGAGTTTGAAGCCACCGGGTCCAGGACTTGAACCGCCGAATGTAACCATTATGCCATCTGCTGGCCCCTCCACAGATTTTCTGAAGTCCCTGTTACTCTTGGCACAGCAGTGTAACTTTGGACCAGCCCCCTCTGCCCTTTTGGGCTTTAGTTTTTTCATCTGGGAAATGGACTCTGGTTCCTCCCTCATGGGAATACTCAAGCCAGACCTAGCCCAGCGCGGGGCACATAGTAGGCACCCTGTGACACTCACTGACTCCTTCCTGCCCTGAGCAGCCCACACGTGTGCATGCGCACATGCCCTGCAGCCTACCCATCCTCCCCGTGGTGGGCCGCCGCCACCCTGGAGGAGGACGGTGGGCAGACTCCGGCCCCTCTGCCCGCAGCTCTGCCACACTGCCCATCACCTTCAAGTGCCTGTTGGAGAACAACCACATCGACCGGCGCATCGCACGCTTTGTGCTGCCCGTGGGCGCCACCATCAACATGGACGGCACCGCGCTCTATGAGGCTGTGGCTGCCATCTTCATAGCGCAGGTCAACAACTACGATCTGGACTTTGGCCAGCTCATCACCATCAGGTGCGTCTCGCCCCACACCCTGCGGGATGGCAAGCCAGCCCGGGACTGGGCGTGAACCTGGCCTCTGGAGAGGGCCATGCAGGCACACACAGGGCGAGCAGAGGCCTAGGGTGGGACTGAGGACAGTGGAGGGCCACTGATGTGGCTTGAGCCAAGGAAAGGGTGCCAGGGTTGGGGCAGAGGCTGACGGGAAGCCCCACTGTCAGGCCAGCACACAAGTCTGGCCCTGGAGACCAGACCCAGGGGAAGCTGGACAGAGCTGTGCTGGTGAACAATCAGAATCTCCAGGTAACTCCTTATAAATACTGTTTCCTGGAGCCAGCAGATGATGTAATGGCTATGTCACTGGACTCCTGTGTAGTCAACCGTGGTTCGAGTCCCAGACCCGGTGGCTGAAACTCACAATGGGTGCATGTGCATGCGTGCCCAAGATCCCAAGAGGAGAATGGAGGAGAAGGGATTGTGGCGTGGCCATCCCCCCTGGGGGTTGATTTCTCACTGTCTGTCTCTCTCTGTCTCTCCAAAGAGCACACATGCTCTATAGTGAAAATCTCTAAAAAAAAAAAAACCACAGCTCCTTGGAACCACCAAGGCACACCTCTGGAGGCAAGGGTTTCCACAGATCCATCCCAGAGGCCACGGGGCTGCAGCACCTTGAGCAGGGACATGCAGCGGGAGCTCCCTGATGTGGTGTCCCCCCTGGCAACCACAGCCCATAAGCCAACACGTTCGGGCCTGCTCCTTCGAGCCGGAGCCTGACAGTGTGCCCGCTCCCTCCTTTCCTCCTCGCCCCTCCCTACCTCCTGCAGCATCACGGCCACCGCAGCCAGCATTGGGGCAGCTGGTATTCCCCAGGCCGGGCTCGTCACCATGGTCATCGTGCTCACCTCCGTGGGACTGCCCACCGACGACATCACCCTCATCATCGCTGTGGACTGGGCTCTGTGAGTGGACTTCCTCCCACAGCTGTGTCCCTGGGGAGGGGCCTAGGCCATCAGGGTAAGGAGCTGAGTCCTTGCCACATCTTCATAGCCCAGATGAACAGCTATGATCTGCATTCTCTCTGGCCCGAGAGCAAAAATCTCTCTCTCTAAAAATAAAAAGATTAATAAATAGGGGCCAGCAGATGGCATGGTGGTTAAGGCGGCTGCGCTCCCACATGGCTGACTGCGGTTCAAGTCCCAAACCTGGCAGTGTGCTTGTCACTCTCCTCCTTTCTCTCTCTCTCTCTCTCTCTCTCTCTCTCTTTCTCTCTCTCTCATCTCTGATCAACTTCAAAAAATAAAATAAAATAATGACAATGAATTTAAAAATTTAAAAAATAAATAAAATTAAATAAATCATTTTTTGAGAGAGAGAGAGATTTGTGCTATAGGGCATGTGCACTCACTGGAGAGAGAACAGAAAGTAAGAAATCACCCCCTGCGAGGACGGCCACGCTGCAGTTCCTTCTCCTCTATTTTTCTCTTAGGATCTTGGGTACGTACATGCCTGGCGTGAGTTTTAAGCCGCCAGTTCTGGGACTCGAACCACAGTCGACTACGTGGGAGTCTAGTGACATAACCATTACACCATCTACTGGTCCCAATAAATAATTCGTAAAAAAAGAAAAAAAAGAGAGAAAGAATCCATGAAAGCAGAGCATTCAGCCAGGCTCAGCCCTTCCAAGTGTGGAGCCGCACGCTCATGAAGCCAGCCCTACATTGACCTGACTCATACCACCAAAGGGAACAGGGTGGAGTGGGGACTGGGAAACGGCCTCCCCTGGCCAGCTAGTCACTGTCATGAGCTGCTGCTGCTGTGTCCAGAGGAGCACTGCCTTCCTCCAGCTCTCCTTGAAGGGCCCGCAGCTCACCCGCCACCCTCCTTGGCTCACCAGGGACCGTTTCCGCACCATGATTAACGTGCTGGGTGATGCGCTGGCCGCGGGGATCATGGCCCACATCTGCCGGAAGGACTTCGCTCGGAACATGGCTGCTGAGGTGAGAGCCCAGAGCCAGGGGGCGGGAGAGCACTAGATCTTCCACCCACCAGTGGGGTAGTGCTCTCCACTTGTAACAGGGGTGACTGTCCCTCTGATATCTGTGTTCTGGGCACCCATCATGGCTGGCACTGCTCTAGACGCAAAAGGAGCAACAGGAACAAACAGGATCAAATCCCCTCCCCTCACGGAGCTAGTGCTCCAGTGTGGGGAGGGCCCTGTCCCGCTAGACAGTCATTCGCACACTGGCCATCTGTGCGGCCTGTATGCTCCTCAGGCCTCCTTCTAGACCCGTGCATAGTAGGCCATCCCCACACAGGAGAAGAAGCTGAGGCTCAGGCAGGGAAGCCACCTGGCTGGACACGAGCCCAGAGAGACTCTGTGGCCTGCACAGTTGCACAGTATGTCTGCAGGAAAATGCACCTTGCAGTTCCCAGCCCTGAGCTTGTACTGCAACACTGACTGTTAGTCCCCACTAGTGTCCAACCTCAGTGCCCCCTGCTGCTATCAGGGCCTGTTTCCCATTTCTAGAAACTGCTGCCTTGCGAGACCCAGCCAGTGAGCCTCCAGGAGATCGTGTCAACCCAGCAGAATGGTTGCGTGAAGAGCATAGCCGGGGCCTCAGAGCTGACCCTGGGCCCCACCTGCCCCCACCACATCCCAGTGCAGGTGGAGCAAGATGAGGAGCTGGGCGCTGCCAGTCTGGACCACTGCACCATTGAGATCAGCGAGCTTGAGACCAACGTCTGAGTCTGCAGAGCTCCAGGGGCCAGCCCAGGCCTCAGGGTCAGGGCTCAGATGACAACTCACCTGCTCTCCTGAGCAGCCGACAGGCCAGGCCCACACGTTCTTCTACCTTGAGAGGCTGGGAATTATCCCACTTGATGGGGAAAGGCTGTGTGTAGCAACCCCAGCCAGAGACGAAGGGCCTGACATGGTCCAAGCCTGGCTCCGACCGTTTCCCCCAGGTGCACCTGAGGGCAGCAAGCTGGGCCGTTGGGCCCACTTTCTGAATGGCAAACTTGAAACTCAGAGCTGAAAGCACTTGCCCAAGGTCTTGAGAGAGTAATGTCAGGGCCAGGAGGTTTTCAAGTCCTGGCCACTCTCTTGGAGGGCGACTGAAGAGAGGCCCTGTTTCTTCCAAGAGCCCCCACTGCCCCCACTGCTTCCAGTGCATGAAGGAAGACGTAATAACCTGTCCTGGTTTCTGCTGCAGCCGCGTCCAGCCCAGGCCAGCCCTTCACTCTGCCCCACAGCACTTGACCTCAGCCAAATAGCTCTCCCAGGGGTGGGCCAGGCGGGGACCACAGCTTACCTGGCCTCCTGTCCCACCAGCTATCTCTTGCAAAGTTCACCTGGCATGGAGACAGATGGTCTCTATGAGAGCCAGAAAGTTCCTGAGACACATCCAGGCCAGTCCCCCGAGGGGACAAGCGGGGAGGCCAGAATTCAGGGAGGGGGATCGGCCTGGGATGCGTTCGTCAAGCTGCTGTTGGGGCCCTGATGACAGAATCATCCAGGCCAGTCCCCCGAGGGGACAAGCGGGGAGGCCAGAATTCAGGGAGGGGGATCGGCCTGGGATGTCGTCAAGCTGCTGTTGGGGCCCTGGTGACAGAATTCCCCAGAGGCTGTGAGGTGATGTGGATCTGTTTGCAAATTCAGTGGTAACTAAATAAAGGCATTTTATTTTCGAGACTTGTGGGCTTTGAGAACACAGTCTGGCCAGGTCTTCGCTGGGCCGATAGGCTGTCAGAGCAAACATGGGCCTGTCTGGCAGCCAGAGCACGGACTGGCCTATGCAGGTAGCCAAAGCACGAACAGGTTTGTCCACGTAGCTACAGTGTAGACAGGTCTGTCCAGGCCATCCGTGCGTGGACACGCCTGCCTGGTCTACAGTGTAGACAGGTCTGTCCAGGCCATCCCTCCCTGGAAGCCAGCGTGCCGATGAGCCTGTCCTGGTTCCCACGGTGAGGGTGGGCATGCCTGAGCTGTTACAGGCACGGGACAGAGTGCCAACCAGCTTGCCCAGGGGTCTGTGCCAACAGTGAAAGTGTGGACGGACCACTCTGCCCTCAGCTTCCATTCTGCATAGGACCCTGAGCTCAGTCCCCATTAAAGGTACAAATTTCCTCAGCCAGCCTGGCTGCCTTGGTGACTGCTTTGCTTTGGGGAGAAGACATGGTCAAAGAAGTTTCCAGACTGTCTCCCTTGTCCTCCTCACCTGGGGTACTTCCAGGAGCCTGCAGGACACACAGCAGGACCCTGGCCACTTGGCCTGTTCCAGGTGTGCTTTGGCGAGGAGGCACAGCTCTGGAGTCTGGAGGGGTCCTACACCAGGATGCCCATGGAGACACTGAGGCCCCGGGAAGAGAAGGTCTCCCCATGGTGACTCAGAGAGTCAGGAGGGCACCCACTCCAGTCTTCCACTTCTGACCTACTTCTGTCCTCCTCCAGGGTCACTGAGGAGCCTAGAAAGGGTCTTGATTCCAGGGTAGCCCCTCCCACAACAGGGTCCACCATGGGCACCTTCTCCTTTGTCAGGGCCTAATGACTAGGCGGGGTCAGATGTCAAGCTAGAGGTCACTCCCACCTTCATGTGGCCAGGCTTCACCTCTCCCTGTGTCACAACTCTGAGACCCTTTGAGTAATCATGTCCTGTCCCACCACAAGGCAGGAGTGTGCTCTTCACTAGACTTGATAGGACAGGACTTACACACCTCCAGGAGCAGAGAGGCCACTCCTTCCTGGCATCTCAGCTCTCCATGTGGCAGCTCTGACCACTGGAGGTGCCATCTCCCTGCAGCTTCTCTTAGTCCCAACTCTGCCCCCATTAAGAGTGGGTTACGTCTTTCCTGGAAGGCCTGCAGAGACTTGGGCCCCCACGCCAGCTCCGCTCCAGCTCCCAGGCCTGTCTCCTGTCCCCTTCCCACCTCCCTGGGACAAATCCCATTGAGAACACTCCCTCAGTACAAAGGCAGTCCTCCAGCTGAACCACAGGTAGCCCAAGAACTGAGCATGGAAGGCCCTCCGCTCGGATGCCCGGCCTCTGGAGTACAGTGAGCTCTCTGTGTGGTGGTCTCTCCTATGTGGCGGTGTCTTCTGTGTGGTGGTGTCTCTTTTGTGGTGGTCTCTCCCGTGTGGCGGCCTCAGATGCCTAGCTCTGGGAACACAGTGAGTTCTCCTACAGTGATCTTGGATGTCTATCCTCTGGGAACGCAGTGAGTGCTCCTGTGTGGAGGTCTCTCCCAGTGGTGGTCTCTCCCGTGTGGAGGTCTCTCCCATGTGGTGGTCCCTCCGTGTGGTGGTTTCTCCCGTGCGGAGGTCTCTCCTGTGTGGAGGTCTCTCCCGTGTGGTGGTCCCTCCGTGTGGAGGTTTCTCCCGTGTGGAGGTCTCTCCTGTGTGGAGGTCCCTCCTGTTTGGTGGTCTCTCCCGTGTGGTGGTCTCTCTCGTGTGGTGGTCTCTCCCGTGTGGTGGTCCCTCCTGTGTGAAGGTCCCTTCTGTGTGGAGGTCCCTCCTGTTTGGTGGTCCCTCCCGTGTGGAGGTCTCTCCTGTGTGGTGGTCTCTCCTATATGGTGGTCCCTGTCTTGCCTGCTCATTCCCACTGAGATGATTCACTGCAGCTAAGCAACTACCCTGGGGCCCGAAGAGCCACACTCTGCACTGATTCCTGGTCTGGCCTATATGCGCAGCCCTGGTGCCAGCCCAGTACCCAGCAGGAAGCACACACAGACACACCACAAGCTGCAAAGACAGAGATCATGCTTTTATATTAGTTTTTCTGTAACAAGTAAAATCAGCTTTGAGATTTTTTTCTTTTTTTTTTCCTTAAAAAATAATGAAAAACCAAAGGCACCTGGAACTTCCCCGCAGGCTCAAAGAATACAGGTGTCTCATAGGTGCAGAGGGGCCTTGCCCACCTGGCTTGGCCCAGCCCCAGTGCCTCACCTCCTGCCAGGGCTGCAGAAACACTGAGAGGCTCCCCCGTCCTGCCTCTGTGGACCTTGCCTGTCAGAAAAGCTCCTGGGGCTTACCAGGGCATGGCAGGGAGGGCTCTCAGTGGGAGTCTGCTCAGCACTCGGGTGGTAGGGGTGGCCAGCACAGCAGTCCCAATGGCTCCTGTCCCCAAAGGGAGGGAGAGGGACAAAAGCCAGCTTTTGTGAGTTCCAGAGGGCAGTAGGCACCCAGCCGCAGAGGGCAGAGATAACCCTGCGTCTTCTCCAGTGGCGGACGGACAGATGGACGGGGTAGATGGTGAGCTGTTCTGGCCAGTTCTGGCTGGCGGTGAGAGCTGTCAGTGGCATAGACCACAGAGGGTTGCTTGTATGTGACTCGTGTGTGCGTAGGTGTGTGCATGCACATGTGCGTGCACTAGCATGTATGTGGGCATTGACGGGAAGCGGGAAGGCGCTGTGTGTGCCAGAGCAGGCCAGCCCTTCCCCAGGTCTGCATGATTTGGAGGGTATGACAGCGGTACCAGGCGTGGGGCAGACAGTGTGGGGGCTGGAGGTCACGTGACGCTGGCTGTGTGCGCACGTCGGGTGTGTGGAGTGTGACATGGTGTCTGCGTGTGTCTGGCAGTGGGATCACTGCAGGAAGGGGCAGGGAGGTGTGGGGTGGTGCCATGTGGGTTGTTGCCCCATGGTGCAGCACTGGGTGTGTCTGTGTGAGTGTGGCAGAACGGGAGCTCTCAGGGCACAGACACATGCTGCAGAGAGGAATCTGGTGGCCATGGTCCTGCAGAATACAGAGGAGAATCAGGGACCCACCCAGGGCAAACCCACCAGCCACGACCAGCCTGCAGACGGGGGGATTACAGCTCAGGGGACCCCTCTAGAAGGGCTCTAGGAAGGCCAGGCTACGGCAAGTGGGGAGGGGAGTGTCCCCTGGGAGCCTGGAGCCAGCAGGAGGCACTCATGCCAGGAAAGCTTTGGGCCACTCCCCAGACCTCTCCCTGCTCCCACTCAATTGGCCCAGCTGTGGCCAGTGTCCTCCAGAGGGGCAACTTCTCTCCCACCCCAGTACTCGCAATCCCTTTATGAGGACCAGAGTCCTCACCGAATGGACAGTCACCCCTGTCACTAACCCTGGATCTACGTAAGGACAATGCCCTGGGAGAAGGGGCCCACCTCTATACCCCTGGGTCCAGGAGTAGGGCAGGGGACTCTCATGAGCTGCCTCTGGGCCTGCCCTCTGCACACACAGCTACCTCACCAGACACTGTCTTCTCATCCTCTGTTAGCCCCCCCCCTGACTCCTCTCTGCCCCAGGCCTCACTTCAAGTGATATCCTAACAGCCCAGCGACCTCCTCCCATGGCTATACTTGGCCCTGTGACCCCCCAACTCTTTGTCCCCACCACAAGGCTCACTCTGAAGTCTTAATTATCCTCTGCCATGCCCTCTGACCATGCCACTCTCCTCCCAGCTGTGCCACCTCTGTGCCCACTCCCCAGGGCTCCTGCCCACCATGCTCTCCTGTGTGTGCCTCTTCCCTACCCAGCCTAACCCCCAGGATCCACTGCATCAGCCATTCTTTTGCCAATATACCCATTTCCTTGTTTTGTGCCCTGCTGTCTCACACACCTGGACAAACCCCAGCCTTGGATGGCTCCAGCTGTCCCTCTGCTGGCACCTCCCACCACACGGAGAGAGCAGGAGAGACCAGGAGAGAGCCGGCCTGAGCAGACCTGACTTCGTGTCCAGCCTCCCACCTCCACCAGTGCTGACCCACCTGCCTGTGATCCTCAGCCCTCCCACAAAGGCAGCCCCTCCTACTGTCCCCTCAGCCGCCCCCCCACCTCCCCTTATAGCTGTGACCCCCCCTCTGCCAGCACCAAGCCAGCTCCCTCCTTAAAGAGGCATCAGGTGAAATGAGCCCTTCCTGAACTCCACAGCCCCTTCCCTCTCCTGCCCTCTCATCTCTTCACAGCCAAACTTCTAGAGAATCAGTCCCTGGATCCACTTCCTTTCCATCCCCAACTCACCCTGGACTATACTCCCTGCAAAGTTACAGATGACCCCATGGGGGTAAACCCAGTGCGCCCTGGGCAGCCCTCAGCTCCTCTGCCTCTCAGCAGCACGGATTCCTCACTTCTGAAGAAGCCTGTGCGTGTACATACCATGTGTGCATGTGCATTGCACACATGTGTGCAGATAAGGGCCCGTATGATGGGTACACATTGTATGCATGCATATAGGTACTCGTGCATGCACATGCGTGCGTGTAAGGATGCACACGTTCTGTGCCTGTGAATGTGTTGTAAAGGATGTGTAATCGGTGTCTGTGAGCCTGCGTGTGCTTCTGCCTGTGCTTCACAAATGCATGCACATGTTTAGACATGTATATACTCACGAGTGTATGTGTCCTGGTGGGTGAGTGTGCATTTGTATGCACGTGCGCATGTACAGGTACCTGGGTTCCATAGCTCTGCTGACTGCCTCTGTCCGCTGGTCTCCTCTGCAGGCTCCCCTCCCACTGTCCCCGCCCTGTCACTCACTGTCCCCAGGCAAGCTCCCCAGCCCCATGCAGCATCAGTGACTGTTTCAAGGCCAGCGATGCCTGGATCCCCGTCTCCAGCCTGGATCTCACTCCTGAACCCTAGACCCACAGACCCAACCCACCCCTGGGCAACTCCCATCATAGCCCTCTTCACCCCGGGTTCGAATCGGCATGTGCCGGCCTCCCATGGGCTTGCTGTCACACTGCAACCTCTCACCAGGGCCTCCTGCATGCCGAGTCCTCTAAAAGGGTTGCAAATTGGACAGCTGATACAGAGGACATGGTAAGGAAGGGACAGGAAGACCCTAGACTGGGGTCATGGACAGGAAAGTGCTATGAGGAGAGATGAGTGCCACCCTACCCAGACCACCTGCTGTGGTCAGATCTGTGTCACCTTGTCACTATCTCGTTTCCTCTTCCTCTTCATCCTCATCCTCTTCATCCTCGTCCTCTTCTTCCTTCAAGCGGCTATGGTCCTTGGAAACGTCACCAAACTCAAAGTTGCCTTCGATGTCCAAGACCTGCAGGTGCTTCAGCCTCCGGAAGGCACTTTCCACCACCGAGCCCACGGCCAGCTTGTTAAACCTGCGCGAACCATCCATGTGGGGTCAATGCAAGGACCCACCCAGGGGCCCCACGCAGAGGAAAAGGGGAGGAAAGGGTGCAGCAAGCAGAAGAGACAGGGCTGAGACATGGTACCTGGTGGAGGCACAGGGTGCCCAGGGGAGCTGCAGCGGGCAGGGACTGTGCTGGGCAAATCTTCCTCTACACATGCTCTCACTGCCGTTCCGGAAGTGGCAGACATGAGTGTTGCCTCCCTGCTCACCTCTGGCAGGAACCCCAGGCCTGAGGCCCCTGGGCCTGGTGTGGAGCCCAGCGAGCCCCTGCACATCTGTGCCTGGTCTGAGGCCCAGGCCAAGCCCGGCTAACTACGCACACAGCAACCACTGGTGCTTTCTGGGCCGCAGCTTTCCTGGTTGTAAACTGGGAAGCTACTGTCTGGGTCCCTTCTCTGCATGACATCAAACCACCTGTGTGCACTGGTTTTTAAAGTTTACAAAGCCCTTTACAAACCTACAAGCCATACAGGCCTAGCCCAGACCGTCCCTTCCCTTAAGAGCTAAGAAGACAGATATGCTCTGTGACATATCCAGGGTCATGCAGCCAGTTAGTGGTGGAGCCAGGCTGTGAGCACTGACCTCCACCTGCGAGCCATTCCATGTGCCTCAGCTGTCCCGCTGGAGCTAAGCCGGGCCCCAAGGGGGTATGTGCAGGACCGTGGGGACCACCTACCTGAGAAAGACCCCCTTGAGGTTGGGTGTGGAGTCGAAGGCATTGGCGGGCACGGTGCTGATCTTGTTGTTCTGCAGGTACAGGTACTCGAGCGACTCCGGGAGCCCCTCAGGGATCTCTGTGAGCTGGTTCCCAGCTATGTCCAGCAGCTGCAGGGGTGACCAGGGAGTCAGGGACTCCCACCTGTGCAAAGCACTTAACAGCTTACAAAACTCCCACCAAGCCCCAGCTTATCTACATCTAACGGTAACCCCGGGAGGGGAGGCCTATAACCAGCCCCACTTTCCAGATATAGAAACAGGCTCAGAGAGCTGAAATGACTTGTCCAAGGTCGCACAGCCAGAAGCTTGTTGGCCTGGCTCCAAACCCTTGTTCTAATTGCTGTACGTCCTAAGTCAGTCACTTTTGCCTTCCCATAACTTAAAGCTAAGATATCCGGTGTCATACTGTGTCCTTAATGCACCTGTCACTCACATCAGGCTAAAGACTCAGACAGACAGGACTCCTTCAGCCCTTGAATCTCACCCTCTGGCCTTGGATGGGGTGGGGGGAGGTGCATGAGTGGGGCCACTCATTTGTGGGCCTTAGGGACCAGGGGTGCAGGCCCTAGGCCGGTCAGTCTGAGTCACCAGATGCCTGGAGTCCAGGGGCCGCCAGTCAGGGAACTGGGATGGGTTTCCCAAAGCAGAACAAGGCTGCGGTAGGCAGGAGACCCAGGCGCGCACTGCTCCATGGCCACCCTCACCCAACCCACACACCTGAGCAGCCACAGAGCAGGACGCCATGATCCCTAAACTCCCTTCTTCAGCCTAGTCTGGGCTTCAGGGTCAGGAAACGGGGGCTGTGAGCCCAGGCAGGCAAGCAGGCCTCAGGTTTCGGGGGAGCACAAGTGTGGGCACCTTAACCTCCCTGTCACTGCCCCTGCCCAGGAGGGCTCCCTGCTGCCCACTGTGTGCCCATCGCCCTGGCGCCCCCCATGCATCTCTTCTTGGGCACTTCCTCACTTCCTCGGGTACAAGGAGACATGGACTGCACTGGGACGCTGCCTCTGCCTCAGGAGGCCGGTCTGGGAAGATGGACATGGGATCTACCATGACAAGCTGGGGGAACTGGGCTGTGATCAAGGAAAAGTTTCCAGGGGAGCATAGGCAGTGAACGGGGTGGGGCAGGAGGATCTGAAGCAGCAGGAA